ACTGAACAGGACGTGGGGAGCTCAGGTAATGTGCAGTCACTGGGCCAGGGTTCCCTAATATGTCTTATTTGAAAACCTTAAATTCTAGTCAAAGCAGTGGGATATAAGACTGTCTTAGTCAGCTGAGATAAACAACTCAAGGAGATAAGGTTAATTTTGGCTCGAAGTTTTAGTCCTTGGTCCCTGGCCTCCATTGCAGGGAGGTCCACGGCAAGGCAGAAACACAGGAAGGGCACGAAGAAGACAGCTATTAACTGTATTGCAGTCAGGAAGCAAAGAAAAGTCATCAGAGGGGCCAGGGCCAAAGGATGCCCCAGAGACCCACTTCCTCCATGTGGGCCCCTTCTTCCAGAGACCCACTTCTTCCCAAGTCTATTCAAAAGGTCTGTTTTGGAGACAAGGTCTCTTGAAGCCCAGACTGGACTCAAACTCACTATGTAGCTGAAGCTGGCCTTGAACTCCTGATCCTCCTGCCTCTAGCTCTTAAGTATTGGGATTTGTGCTGGGCATTACTACACTTGGCTTCAAATTTGGAACAGATTAACCCATAGACTAGAACAGAGACTTCAAGGTCAATGCCGGGTGTCCTCTAGCTCTCCACCTTATTTTGGGGACAGGGATCTCACTGAACTTGGAACTCACTGACTCAGCTAGACTGGCAGGCAGCAAGTCCCAGTGCCGTGATTACAGGTGCATGCTACTGTGTCTGCTTTCAGGTAAGAACTGGGGATCTGAACTCAGGTCCTAACACCTGCATGACAAGCACTTTACCGACAAGCCATCTCCCCAGCACCTCTCAGGGGCTTCATTAAACAAAACAAAAACCCCAGAGAGATGGCTCAGTGGATAAGAACACTGACTATTCTTGCACAAGACCCAGGTTCGAATCCCAGCACCCACATGGCAGCTAACAACTGTCCAGAACTCCAGTTCCAGAGGATCCAACAGCCTCTTCTGTCCTCCATAGGCATTGCACGACACAGGTGCACTTACCTACAATGCAGGCAATACATGCATATACATAAAATAAAAAACAAAACAAAACAAAATGAAACAAAAAAACCCCCAGCCAGGCATGGTAGTACATGCTTTTAATCCCAGGACTCAGGAGGCAGAGGCAGGCGGATCTCTGTGACAGCCTGGTCTACATAGTGAATTCCAGGCCAGCTGGGGCTACAGGGAGACCCTGTCTCAAAAAGACAAAAAAATAAATAAATAACATCCTCTGGATGGACAATGGATTTTTTTTTCCCTTTTCACCAAGGCCATCTGTGTTGCTTCCAAGTTTGGCAAAAAAAAAAAAAAAAAAAAAAAAAAAAAAAAAACTATGAGACACGAATGGAGGAATTTGAAGAGAACACAAAAACGCGGAAAGACAGTCCATGTGGAAATGCACAGATTGGGAGGGTCAATATTACAAAATGTTCTTATTTCCCAAAGTGATCTACAGATTCAGTGCAATCACATCAAAATACTAATGAATTAGGGGCTGGAGAGATGGCTCAGCAGTTAAGAATACTGACTGTTCTTGCAGAAGATCCAGGTTCGAAACCCAGTACCCACATGGCAGCTAACAACTGTCCGAAACTCCAGTTCCAGGGGATCCAACAGCCTCTTCAGTCCTCTGTGGGCACTGCACGACATGGGTGCACTTACGTGCAGACAATACATGCATACACATAAAATAAAAATAATAAATATTTTTAAAAACTCCAATGAATTAGAAAAAACAATCCTAAAATTTATATGGAACCATGTTGGGGAACCCTGCTGTTTAGGGTCGCAGTCTCTCCATGTCCGGATAGCCCAAGGGGCTCGGGGTTCTTATGCAGAGACTCCCCTTTCCAGCAGGGCGCCTTCTGCTCTCCTTCCTGACTCACCTTTGAAGTGGCCGTCACAGATACATGACCTCTGGCACAGAAACTGCCAGGTTTTTCCTGTGTGATAATCAGGCACTGTCTGACAGCCTGATAGAAGCCCACCACCACATGTAAATGGGGCATCCTAGGAGCACCTATCAGCTGAGGCTTTGCTACTGCCACCACACTATAAATTCTCTAGTTTCCCCTAATAAAGAGGAGCTGAATCACTGAGTCTGACTGAGCTGTATCACTGAGTCTGACAAAGCTGTATCACTGAACCTGTCTGGAGCTGTATCCTGTGTTACCAGTCTGTGATTCAGTCTTCCCGGAGGGGGCTGCCCTTCCATCAACAACCACTCACGAAGATCTTGCTTTTGCCGTTCCTGCACCTCCCCTCGTGATCCGGTGGCCAACGAATCGTGTGCACAGAGGGAGTGTCCGGCAGCTTGGAACAGAACCCGCCCGGCAGCTGACAGCGGCCCGCAGAGTCGCCAGCGCCCGGTAGCCGCGGAGAGCCAGGGACCCGCACAGCAACAAGGTGCGCGCAACCCGCGCACCCCAGCCAACAGCTGGCATAGCAGCGTGCAACCCGCCACACCACAGCAACAGAACCATAAAACAAGAAAGTAAACAAATGGTCAAAGTAGTGTGAACGAAAAGGACTAAGGAAGATACCACATCACTGCAAAACACACTAGAAGCTATGGAATCCAAACAGCACAGTACAGACATAGAAACAGATACCAGGTCAATGGAATGGAACTGAATAGAGAGCTTAGAAATAAAACTATGTTAGCTATGGTTGACTGGTTTGAACTGGAGTGCTAAGAAAAGGCACTGGATAAAGGGCAGTCTCATTGATAAACGGTACTGGGAAGACTGGGTATCTATATGCAGAATATGAAACTAGACCTGTCTCTTACTACATACAAAATAAAATAAAAAATTAAGTTTAACATCTGAAACTACTAGAAGAAAACATAGGGGAAATGCTTCAGAACTCTGGAACAGGCAAGATTTTTTTGTCGGGGGGGGGGGAGGTACAGGAAATAAAACAAAACTAGACATGGGTTATGTCAAACTTTTACCAGCAAAGGCTGAGTAAAATCAACAGAGTAGGGGGCTGGAGAGATGGCTCAGCAGTTAAGAACACTGACCGTTCTTGCAGAAGACCTAGGTTCGAATCCCAGCACCCACATGGCAGCTAACAACTGTCCAAAACTCCAGTTCCAAGGGATCCGACAGCCTCTTCTGTCCTCTGGGCACTGCACGACACGGGTGCACTTACCTACATGCAGGCATAACACTCGCACACATTGAAAAAAAAAAAATAAACAGAGTAAGGCACATACAGAATGGAGAAGGCATCTGCTACCTATTCATCTGACAGAGGACAGGCATCTAGAATCCGTAAAACTCAAAAACACAAGTGGCCCAATTAAAGAGGGGCAAATGATCTGAACAGACACTTCTCAAATGAAGAAACTGAAAACAATGCAAACTGCTCCGGGTCACTGCCATGAGGGAAACACAGATCCTATGCACAATGAGATTCTATCTCACTCCAGTTAGAATGACTACTATAAAACAAAATGCTGACCAGGGTATGGGGGAAAGGAACTCTCATATGCTCTGGAAAAGAGAAGGAAGGTCCTTCAAAAAACAACCAATAGATGCCAGCAAGATGGTTCAGTGGGTAAATACTTGCTGCACAGGCCTGGTGACCTGAGTTCGAGCCCTGGAACCCATGTAAAGGTAGGAGAGAACCAACTCCAAAGTTGTCCTCTGACCTCCACTTGAGTGGCATTATGTATGTATGTATGTATGTATGTACACATGTACACACACACACACACACACACCCTTACAAACACAATAAAATACATTTTTAAAGTTTAAAAAAACAGAACAAAAACCACCCCCCAAAGCCCCAAAATCTAACATGACCAGCTAGCCTATCTCCAGGTACATATGCAAAGGACACCAGCATACTACGGAGACAGCAGCACACCCATGTTTATTGTGGCATCACAGATGAATGGGATAAAGAAAATGTGGTATATATATGTAATGGACTATTCTTCAACCATATGAAGATCCAAACCCTTCCATTCCCTTCCATTTGCAGCAAAATGGATGGAACTGAAGGACATTATGCTAAATGACATAAGGCAGACACAAAAAGACAAGTGTCGCATGTCCTCTCTCACACAGAAGTTTTCAAAAAAAATCCTGAAAATAGAAGTCATGGTTGGGAAGAGGGTATGTGGGTCAGAAAGAGGTGGTTAATCAGTGCCCCTTATACATGTATGCAGATATCACACTGATCCTATTAATGCATATAATTAACATATATTAACAATATAGATAGCTTAAATATGTTCTTAAGAAATAATCAAAAGACTATAAATGAAGGGCACAGTGATTTGTTATTTTAAGCCCATTACATTAAACTCACAGCAATCCTCCTGTCTCAGCCTCCTGACTGCTGGGATTACAGGCACTGAGCTTCCACATTTGGCTAGTAAAACCATTTTAGAAAACCACTGAACGAGTATAAAATCAAGTTCACCCTACCACCATCCACTGACACAGCTTTCACTTTATTTTATCTTTGAAAGAGATGAAACAAGGATGTTGCTAGCAACAAGACTTGCAGGAATAAAGACCATGTAAACTCCTAATGTCTAACCACGGGAGACCGGGTACGCAGCAATGTAGTCTCCCAGCAGGATTCTGTATATCAGTGGAAACAAGTAACAACCACCATAAGCAAAATGGACAAAAAAGTGAAATGAACAAAGCAAATCCTAGAAGAGTGCTCAAAACGTGACGCCATCTTAAAACCCTTAGGACACTGCACATGTATATTAAACCCAGTTTTTAAAGAGAGGAAGTCAACATTTTTATCACTGGGATGGGAGGCTGAGATGGTGGCTGCCTGAGTATTCAGTATTAACGTGCTTTATGCCTTAACTTCACAACTTAAACATGTGCAGAGACATTTACATGTATGTATTTTTCCATTCTATGCTGCATGTCACATAGTCAAAAAGGTAAAAATGGGAGGAAAGAGGACTAAAAAAGACGGGCTGCTGTTCACTGCCGTGCGAGCCGGCGCTCCAGGGCAATACTTACTGGTCTAGAGTCTTGTAGTAGATGTCCAGGTCCTTGTTCACCAGCTCCGTTGTCCTCATAACAATCATCATCTCTCTGTGCTTTTCCTCAGCATCCCGAAACTGAGGTTCTCGAAGTTCTTTCTTAAAATGAATAATTTCTTCTTCATAACCTTTCTGTCGCCCTAGAGCCACGCTGAGATTTCTTTTGATATTGTCTATGTCCTCTTCCAGCTTCTGACGCTCACTATGAAACGGAAGCAGTGATGAGGGCCACTCTAAGAGCTTTCAACACTTAATGCAGAAAAGCCTCTGGAGACGGGCTGCACTCCTTAGCGGTCATTCTGTCATATCTCTCCTTGTTATCTAAGCCGTCAGCATACAAGAAAGTTCTCTTCCTTCCAAACTTGGGCAGCCTGCACGTCTCTGAGCAGCTGACTGCTGCATGGAGAACTCCCTAACATGTGAGTGCTGTGAAAGTCTCTGACTTCCAGACACTGACTGGGCAAAGCACTGGGGTTCACAGCACCAACCACACACTCCTGCTTCTGGAAGAACAAAATAACTAACAACTACAAACAGTGAGGGATCACTGAGTAATGGGTTAAATTGGTTTTGCTTAAAAAATGTCAGTGTCAAAGACATAGTACAATTTTATCTGAAGTAAACTAAATGGTCATTTTTTCTGGTAGTAGTCGTAAAAACTGGACTCTTCCATGAAAACAAAATTTCAGCCAAAAAAGTATAAAAATCATAGTACCGATCAAAAAGTAGTGAAATTATTTAAAATTTCCAGATAATCTGGCAGATTATACAGGTTTCAATATACACCTTAAATTTTCATTTACTTAACAACCACTTGCTAAGCTCACTCTTGGGTGCTACACACTGCTCTCAAGTTTAGGGACATAATTACGCAGTTGGCCTGATTACATCTGCTGACCTCTTTGCCGTTTCCTACGTGAAGAAAGGTTTTAAAGGAACAGGTGCATTCAGCAGTCGGAATGAGCATAAAGAACAGCGAATTGAGCATGGTGGTATACACCTTTAGTCCCAGCACTCAGGAGGTAGAAGCGGGTCCATTTCTGAGTTCTAGGCCAGCCTCGTCTACACAGAGAGTTCCACCATAGCCAGGGCTACACAGTGGGACCCTGTATTTAAAAAGTTAAGATTTAATCACAAGAGGAATTAAAAAAAATCTCGTTTGGGGGCTACTAAGATGGCTCAGTGGGTAAAGGATTAGGATTTGCCTCCAAGCCTGATAACCTTAGTTTGATCCTCAAGACCCATCTGATGCAAGAGGAACTGAATCCTGCAAGTTGTCTTCTGATTTTCACATGTACACTGTGTAGCATGAGCACGCACAAGTACACATACACACACACACACACATGCACAAATAAATGCAATAAAATTTTTTTTATCTGGTTTCCATCTTTAGTAGCAAAGATTTTTTCAAGTCTAAAAGCCTTACTTTTGCAACTTGCCAGAGAGAACACTAACACTGTGCTGTTCAAATGATGAGGTATGGGAGCTGAAAGGCTTTGGGGTCACATTCCTGGCTTTCATTGTAACTTCTGCTGTGATTTTTCTGGATTCCTGGGTCCTCATGCACAAAATGACATTATAGATGGTAAATTCTTTCAGTTATAGTCTGATTTCAATGACATATGAAAGAGCTTTTAAATAACTAAGCCAAGAGTACTTACACAATTCCAATGTTAGATTTTACAAATTAAATCTTCATTTTTATCATCTTTCAGAAAATCCTAAGCATTCAATTCAGATTTTTATATAAGTTCAGGAAGACAAAAAAAAACAAAAAACAAAAAACAAAAAAACCCCAAACTATGATGGAGGTTGGAGATGACTGAGCAGTTAAGAGCACTTGCTGCTCTTCCAGAGGACTAGAGTTTAATTTCCAACACCTACATAGGACAGTTCACAACTGCCTGTAACTTCAGCTCCAGGGAATCTGATGCCTTCTTCTGGCCTCCAAAGGCAGCACTCACATGGCATACATTCACAGACACCAAAACACAGAAACATGATTACAATAAAAATAAATCTTAAAATCTATGAGAAGGGCTGAATACACAGGACCTGGATTTAACCAGCTGATATAATCCAAAATTTAAGTATCTTGAGGCTGGCAAGATGGCTCACTGTTAAAAGCACTTGCTCTATAAGTCTGATAACCTGAGTTTAATCTCCAGAACCCATGTAAAGGTGGAAGGAGAAAACCACCTCCATAAAGCTGTCCTCTGATGTCTACACATGAGAAAAGGCATGTGTATGCCAACGTAAACCTCTCTATCTCTCCCCTTTCCTCTCTTTTTCTTCTCTCTCACATGCTAATTAATTAGCTTAAAAAAATTAAGGACCTGAGCTGGGTGTGGTGGTGCAAGCTTTTGATTCCAGCACTCTAGAGGCAGAGGCAAGCAGGTATGTGAGATTGAGGCCAGCCTGATCTACATACTGAGACAGGGAGGCCTTGCTGCAAAAAAAATTGCAGCTTTGGCTAGTACATTCACAGCAGCCTGGTGCTTGAGCACCAACCAGGCTCTTACAGAATTTCCAACACAACAGCAGAACAGACAAGGCAGCTAATATGCTTTATAATTTAACCTCTCTGGGAATAAAGATCTAAGGTAAGCACCCATGACCTGGTGAAGGAGCCCGGCAACATGTGTTCTTTACAGACACCACCAGCAGCAGGTTAGCAGAAGTCTGGGGGCTTGGAGTGCCTAGTTCTTGGGACTACTGTTCATCACAGTGGTTCTAAACTCTGTATCTCAGGATCCACTATGTAGCTCAGTGCTGGCCTCAGCCTCCTGAGTGCTGGGTTTACGAGTGTGCAGCACCACACCCTGCTGCAGTAATTCAACTTTTACAGCCAGAAAATACATCTGCATGAAAATCCTGTCCATCATCTTCCTGCATCTCAAGAGACATCAAACCAAGGCTCAACTCTTTTTTTTTTTTTTGAAACAGTGACTTCCTGTAGCCAAAGCTGGCTTGGAACTTACTATATAGACTAGGCTGGCCTCAAGCTCAGAGATTCACCTGCCTCTGCCTTCCAAGTACTGGGATTAAAGACATGCATCACCATGCCCAGCCCGAGGTTCAAAGTCTTGTAAAACAGGTATTTAATTTCTTTACATAACGATAAAACCTTTATTCAAACTAAAAATTATTTTATGCTGAGTATGGTGATGCCTGTAACCTTAGCCCTCAAGGAGTAAAGACAGGAGGACTATGAGTTTGAGGCCAGTCTGGGCTGTATAAGAAGACTTCAAAAATAAACAAATTGGGGCTGGAGAGATGGCTCAGCAGTTAAGAGCACTAGCTCTTGGGTTCAATTCCCAGTACCCACATTGTGGCTAATAACTGTCCGTAACTCCAGTTCCACAGGATCTAATACCCTCTTCTGACCTCCATGGGTACTGTATGACATGGGTGCACTTACATAAATGCAGGCAATACACTCATACACATAAAATAATAAAATATTAAAACCCCCCAAAACACACATACTATTTAGTAGACACACTTTTTCATTTGTAAAACCTGCATCTGTCCCATTTCCTTCAAATGTTGTTTTCTTTCTTCTTCAACTTCCTTCAGTTCCTCTTTTCTTTTTCTTAAAGTAAGGTTGTCCTGCAGCCATCTCTCCTGTACCTAAAAGTAAACTTTACATCAATTAACAAAAACAACCCAGTCACTAACATGACTCCGTAGGAGTGCTGCAGGCACGGCACTTCTGCCCTACTCAGAATCCTGCTGAGGCGAAGAGAGGGAGACTAAGCTGGCTGACGGCGTCTCCAGGGAGGATGGCTTCCGCAGGGCGGCTGGAGCTGCCCTTTCATGGCCACAGAAGAAAAAGTGGACCCTTTTGCATGGGAGGGGAGAATCCGCCTAACAAATGATTTGAGTAAGTATTTTGTATATTCATTTACTTATAAAATATTACAGTATTTGGTAAAAAATGCTATCAAATACAATCATTTTACATACACACAAAACAAATTTAAAATGGCAAAGAGAAAAGAAATTAAGACATTCTGATACTTAATGCGTACTCCCTGGTGGGTCATCTTGCCCAAGAACCCACAGCCTACTGATCTGAAGACTATTCAGAGTCCATTATGAGCCAGGCGTGGTGGCACAAGCCTTTAATCCCAGCACTAGGGGGGCAGAGGCAGGCAGATCTCTGTGAGTTCCAGGCCAGCCTGTTCTACATAGCAAGTTCCAGGCCAGTTGGGGCTACAGGGAGATCCTGTCTCAAAAAAAAAAAAAAAAAAAAAAATCCCATTAATATGTATGATTTTTATGGTATCAATTAAAAACATTCTTTTATAAAAGCTATAAATAAATCACAGATCAATACAACTGTTGGTCTTCCAAACTTTATTTTCCTAGTTATATTTGTCTGCTAAGATGTGCCAAGACTATCAGATACTTTGAAGTACATGTAAGGTGTCTCTGTTTTCAGGCTGACAAACACGAGTGTTCCTACCTGAGAATCCAAAATTCATAGCAGAGTTTGCAGCACTTAAGACTTTTCGGTTAAGGATGTTTAACTGGTAAAGTCTCATAAATATTACAAAATCCAAAGAACTAAGATTTGATATAAAGAAACAATTTAGAAATTGACACTTTGGAGTTTAGGGGCAAAAACCTGGCAGAAACTCAGTGGTGTGGGAGCAGGGAGGAGCAGCTCTTTGACCATTATCTTGCATCCAACAGTGATGGTCAGGGAGGAAAGCGATGGAGAGACAAGGCTTTCTCTCACATCTGAAAGGTTCACGTTCTAACCTTGTCCTCCAGAAACTAGTTGCTAGTTTTTTTTTTTTTTTAAAAAAGTCACCAAGAAAGTAAGGCTACTATCCTGCAGATTTGTGAAAGGAATTATTATCAACAGTTAAAGGAGCCAAAGCGGCATGGCTGCAGATGTCCACGAGGCTGAGGCAACTTAGTGAACCACCATAGATAGCTGTGCTCGCCAAGCTGCTCTGTGGTGAACCTAGCTTACACGTTGTCCTTATTAGGACATGGCAGGTAGGTATACTTGTCTTCATCTGAACTTGCTTTCATGACTCCATGAAGAGCTTTATATAAAGTACTGTCCCAATTTAGGTAAGACTGATTCTGTAATGTAATATTCCTAGCCTGTTTATAGACAGGCTCATCAGAAAAACAGACATTTCTTTCTTTTAGATTGGTTTCTATTCTTACTTTACTTTGAAATCACAAGAGGTAAAAAGCAAAGATTCTGGGAGCTGGAGAGATGGCTCAGCGGTTAAGAACATTGTTCTTGAGAAGAGATGGTCAGTGGGATTCTGCTGCCTGATTTCTCTGTGTGAGTGACAGGAAACATTCCACCCTCCTCTGCCTGCATGGGCTGCATTCAGGTGCCTTATTTCTTCCAGTCAGAGATTTCTTTGACTGTTCCCTATCTGTACGTAGATTTCCTTCATTTAAAATTATTCTCTGCATCTTTTCCCTCAGTTTAGTTCGTGATTCCCAATTGTTTTGAAACCCCATAAAAGCAAAATACTTTAAAATTTAAAAAAAAAAAAAAAAAGCAAAGATTCTGAAATCAGGTATACCCAGGTTCAAATCCCAATGCTGTAGTTTTTAAACGGGTAATTTCAGGCAAATCAGTTTAAGTTCTCTAAGTTTCAGTTTGCTTTTAATATGGTGATAATAGCACCTGTTGTAAAGAGGTACCATGAAGGTTAAGTAAGTCAGTACAGTACTCAGCTCAGTAATTGGTCATGAAAAGTTTCAGAGTACAATTTGCCCTTTGTACTTGAGGCACTGAGAATTCTAATTATGGCTTACAAAAAATTAAGGTATCAGAGAAAGAAAGAAAAACAGAGCAGTTGAAGTACATCAGTATTGTTTTTTTTTGGGTGGTTTCTGTGTACATGTATGTACGTGTTTGATAGCCAGACAATAACCTTAGGTGTTTCTCCTCACTGTCGACCTTGACTTTGTTTTGTTTTTTGAGACAGGGTCTCTCACTGGCACCTGAAGTTTGCCAAGTAGGCATTGCTGGCTAGCCGGGGATCACCAGGCACTGCCTGTCTCTGCCTCCACAGTACTGGGATTGTAAGTGTGTGCCAACATGCTCACTTTCACCAGCGTGATTTTGTACACCAGAATCTGTCAATGAACAGTCAACCTGTTAGTACATTTGTGGCCTTGGGTGAGTCAGGTTACTTCTACCTCCCTGTGTATGTAGCTCTTCATCTGAAAAAGGGGGCAGGTTAGATTCCATGTATTTTATTCTTTGGACTAAAATTAATAGGACTTAAATCAGCATGCAAACAAATGACAGGTTCTCCGATCACCCAGCTAGGGTGATATATTAATGCACAGTATTGGAGATTTCCAGAGAGAACCAACAGGATACAGATAAAGGAGAGGGAATTTATTAGGGTAACAAAGGAGTGCCAGGACAGGTTATCTGCAAGCTAACTGACCCCAGAATATCAGAAACATGGCTCAGTCCAAAAGCCTCAAAACTCAGGAGGCCAGTGGTGTAGTCAGAGGTCTATGAATCTGGAGTTTTGTTTCAAGTAGCCCAGGCTCACACTGAACTTGCTATGTAGCTGAGGATGACCTTGAACTTCTGATCCTCATGCCTCCACCTGCCTGGAGCTGGGATTACAATGTGTTTATACAGCCCTGGTTTATACAGGGCTGATGATCAAATCCAGGGCCTCATGGAATGCATGCTAGGTAAGCATTCTACTAATTGAGCTCTATCTCCAGCCCAAGAGCCTAAAAGTTCTGATGTCCAAGACCAAGAGATAGTGGAGAGGCAACTCAACAGTTAAGAACACTACTGCTCACACAGAGGATGGAGCCAGGCTTCCGGCACTCATGTGGGGTGGCCCACCACTACCTGTAACTCCAGCTCCAAGGGACCCCTTTACTCTCTTCGGGGCTGGGGAGACAGCTCAGCAGTTAAGAGCACTGGCTGTTATTGCAGAAGACCTGGGTTTGAATCTCAGCACCCACATGGCAGCTAACAACCGTTTGTAACTCCAGCTCCAAGGGATCCAACACCTTCTGTCCTCTGAGGGCGCTGCATGACATGGTTGCACTTAAACACATGCAGGCAAAACACTCATACACACAAAATAAAAACAAATAAATCGAAAAAAAATTTTTTAAAAAAGTATGTTTCAGCTCTGGACCAGGAAAAATCCTTCTCTCTCCTTCTTGATCCCAGCCAAGGTCCCGGCCAGTCCCTGCTCATGCTGCAGGCAGCCCTTCTAGAACCATGCATATAACTCGCCCTTTATTGATATTTCATATTTGAAAATGACTAAGGAAAAAAATCTGGGTGTGGTTGTGTATGCCTGTAATCGCAGAACTTGGGAGATACAGGCAGAAGGATCAGAAGTTCAAGGTTCTTCTCAGCTACATGGCTAGTCACAGACTAGCCTGGACTACATGAGATTGTCTCAAAGAAACAAGCATCAGCAGCACCTTCCTGGTGACAGTGGACACTGCAGAAAGCTCATTGGCTAAACCTCAAAGGGACCCAGTGTGTCAGACAAACACTTTACCATTAAGCTGTATCCCCAAGACTCCCAAGAGATTTTACCATCATTAACAAGCAACTAATTAAAGCAAACAGCAAATTTTGCTTAAGACAGCAGAAATAGAGAAATGTTTTTTCAAAGATCCTAACTAAGACATGAAGATAGCCTCTCAATCTAATTTTAATTACATCATAGAAATTTTCTTTAAAAAATATTTTATTTGGGGCTGGAGAGATGGCTCAGTGGTTAAGAACACTGGTTGTTCTTAACCAGCAGAAGACCCGGGTTTGAATCCCAGCACCCATATGGCAGCTAACAACTGTCTGTAACTCCAGTCCCAGGGGATCTGATGGCCTCTTCTAACCACCACGGGCACTGCATGACACGGGTGCACTTACCTACATGCAGGCAATACACGCATACACATAAAATAAAAATAATAAATAAAAATTTTAATTTTAATTTTTGTTTTGTGTTATGAGTGTGTTGCCTGCATGTGTGTAAACACATCCATGTGGTGCAATGCCCATGGAGGTCAGAAGAGGTGGTTGGATTTTTCTGAAATGAGTTATGTGGATGCTGGGAATCAAACCCATGTTCTCTTTAAGAGCAGCCAGTGCTCTTAACCACTTGAGACATCACTGCAGCTAAAGAAATCAATTTTCTTTTTCTTTCTCATTTCATTCTCTCTCTCTCTCCCTCTCTCTCTCCCCCTCCCTCCCTCCTTCCCTCCCTCCCTCTCTCTCTCTCTTCTTTCTTTTTGGGTCATTTTGAGACAGGGTTTTCCTGTAGCCCCAGCTGGCCTGGAACTCACTATGTAGACCAGGTTGGCCTTGAACTCACAAGAGATCCACCTGCCTCTGCCTCCCGAGTGCTGGGATTAAAAGCATGTACCATCACGCAAGGCTAGAAATCAATTTTCTTAATGGACAAAATAGATGATATAGGAACCAACTACAAAATGACTTAACATTACAAATACTTTCCTTATAGGTAATTTTAAAAAAGTTCTTTTGACTTATGTATTTTTATTTTATGAGTGTTTTGCCCGCACATATGTGCACTATACGCATGCAATACCTGTAGAGGACAGAAGAGGGTGCTGGACCCCCCCACCAAATGGAATTACTGTCTGTTGTTAGTTGCCATGTGGGTGTTGGGACCCAAACCTGGATCCACTACAAGAGCAGCCTAGACTCTTAACCACTGAGCCATCTTCAGCTCCCTATAAATAGCTTTTAAGGATATAATGGACCTTAATCATATGTCTAGGCCACATAGTGAGACTTACCTAAAATTTTTTTTTAAAAAGCAAATAATGATATATTTGTGAGTTGATATGTAAGATCAAAATAAGTAACTGAAAAGATAAAAAATAATATGAATGTTAAGATACATATGCAAATTAAAATATAAACATATAAATCTAAACTTATCTATCCATCTAGCTGTTGATACAGAAATAAAATATACATGTGTATACATATACACACACAAATTTTTTTGAGACAGGACCTCACTATGGCTAGTCTAGAACTTGCTATGTAGACTGGAATGGCCTCAAATTCAGAGATCTCCCTGCCTCTGCCTCTCAAGTGCTGGGATTAAAGGTGTGAACCAGCACTTCCAGCTTTTATATTTAAACTTTTACCACATATGACCTTTGTTGAAAATATAAATGGAAAAATAAAGAAGAAAAATGAATTCTTTTGGAATCATTTCTCTGTTCACAGTTCCATGCAGTTTATCTTCTCTTATAAGACGTAATAGGGAAGGAGTGTTGTGATGGCAGGAGCCCTACCTTCTGGGTGTCAATGTCTTGTCTCATGACTCCCATTTCTTTACTTATCCTTTCTTTGTTCTTGTCACATTCATTAAGCTGAGCTATGACTCCATTAAGTTCAGTTTCCTTTTGCTACAAAAAAAGAGAAAATTCTTTAAGCATATGAAATCAAAACAAACACATAAACAATTTTGCTTTAAGTTACCTTCTTATAGTCGTCTTTTCCATCTTGAATATAGCTCTCAATGTCTCTCATGTAACCATGAATGTTTTTAATCTTCTCTTTGATATCATTGATCTGAGGAAAAATATTCATTAAGTTTACACTAAAAAACAAAACAAAACAAAAATCAAAAATTGACACTGCCAGGCTGGGCATGGTGGCACATGCCTGCAATCCTAGTACTCCAGAGGCAGGAACAGAAGATCACCATAAGTGTGGTGGCACAAATTAGATTTGGTGGATTATAAAGAAAAGGAGCTCATGAAATTGGAGGGCAGCGGGAGGAGTGGATCTAGGAGGAGTGAATCTAGTAGATCTAGGAGGAGTAGATCTAGGAGGAGTAGATCTAGGAGGAGTAGATCTAGGAGGAGTGGATCTAGGAGGAGTAGATCTAGGAGGAGTAGATTTAGGAGGAGCAGATCCAGGAGGAGTAAATCCAGGAGGAGTAGATCTAGGAGGAATAGATCCAGGAGGAGTAGATCTAGAATAGTGGATCTAGGAGTAGAGGATCTAGGAGGAGCAGATCTAGGAAGAGCAGATCCAGGAGGAGTAGATCTAGGAGGAGTAGCTCCAGGAGGAGTGGATCTAGGAGGAGCAGATCGGGGAGGAATAAATCCAGGAGGAGTAATCTAGGAGGAATAGATCCAGGAGGAGTAGATCTAGGAGGAGTGGATCTAGGAGGAGCAGATCTAGGAAGAGCAGATCTGGGAGGAGTAGATCCAGGAGGAGTAGATCTAGGAGGAGTGGATCTAAGAGGAGTTGGGGAGGAGTAGAGGTGAATAGGATCATCTGCATACTCCCGTGCATACACACACACACACACACAGTCTCATGAGGGCTACAGATATGACTTAGGATCATCTGCATACTCCCGTGCATGCACTCCTACGCTCTGTACACATACATATACACACAACACACTTGAGCATGCTCATACACACAAATACATATACACATACTTGTTCTTCACACACACACACACACACACACACACACACACACACACACACACACACAGAGTCTCATGAGGGCTACAGATATGACTTAGTGGTTAAGAGCGCTTGCCCAGCATGTGCAGGGCACCCAGCACTGGAAAAATAATAATTATACCACAAACTTGAACATATTATTTCATCAAGTTATTTAACTTCACGTGAAACAATAGCGCTGCCGATGTTTAATACAGACACTGGGTAAGAAAAAGGCACCAATGAGAGCTCACTTTGTCCTGGGCTTGTCTGTCACTTGCATGCTTCCTGTTGACTAGTTCTTCTTTTTCCTGCTGGAACTTTTCCAATGTTGTTTCCAAGGGGTGTATCTGCTCCTTTGCGTCCTAAAACACACCACACAGAGGCAAACCAGTCAGACAACACCCTTGTCCTGTTTTGGGACAGCCTCCATACTTAATAAAAACACGTCCACCCATGAGGCTTTAATCACAACTTATTTGATCCTCTTCACAACCCTCTGAAGATGGTACACCATCTCTGAAGGTTATTTCCACCCCTGTATTTTAGAGGAGCAAACAGGCACAAAGAATGACCTGTCCAAGATCCATACGTAAATGCAGCAGCTGAGATTCTAGCTCAGTCCATCCCCAGCATCCAGTTGCTTTACAATGATCTGGTTCTTAGTCTAGGCCATGTGCTCACAAGTGCTCACATGGCTTCTTGCACGAAGTCTTCTGAGTTCTACAAGAACCTATGTCAGCTGTGTGGCCACACACTAGCAAGGTCTACTCAGCCCAGTATTCTCAGAGCTGACAGAGACTTCACAGACGGAAATACAATGGCAGCAAATATTTCTGGCCTCACGCTTAGTTGGCTAAGCAATCTTTTCATGGTAACAACAGCTACTGATCAATGTTCCCATACCTACTGGGGAAGGAAGGGAGCTTTCAAAAAGTAAACTTTCACTAATCACAAGTCCCTTATAACACTGCTGTAAACACACATACATGATAATCATGGTTTAAAACAATGAACCAGCTGGGCATGGTGGTGCCCACCTTTGATCTCAGCCCTCTGGAGGCAGAAGACAGGCAACCTCTGTGAGTTCAAGGCCAGCCTGGTCTACATAGTGAGTTTCAGGCCAGTTGGGGCTACAGGGAGACCCCTCTCAAAAAGACCAAAAAACCAACAAAACAAAACAAAACAAAACAAAACAAAAGACAATGAACCTTGAGATCCTGAAATACCTGTTAAATTTACAATGGTTAAAGGCAGACACAGTTATCTGGTATGACTGGTGGTGTGCTTTCTCATCCTGGGAAGGGGTTTGGTGTGGTGGAAAACCAAGTGGCTTCAGTGTCAAGAGAACTATTTGAAAAATCAACCTTGTTTCCCTAGGGCAACACAGGGGACATATGGAAATCTGTTTAGGGAGATTTAGTTATCTATCTCAACAGGCTCACAAGACTCGAAGTGTTTTAAGGTCAAAATAATTTCTAACTAGGGTTTGGAAAGATGGCTCAGCAGTTAAGAGCACTGGGTTCTTGCAGAGGACCTGGGTTTGATTCTCAGCACCCACATGGTGGTTAACATCCCCTATCTATACTCCAGTTACAGGGACTCCAACACCTTCTTCTGATTCTGTGGGCATTGTATGTCTTGGGTGCACTTACACACATGCAGGCAATACACTCATACACATAAATTAAAAAATAAGATATTTTAAAAAATTTCTACTAATAAAAATAACACTAATGAAAGGTTATAGTCTATTTTGTTAAGGTCTAAGCCAAAATTATTTAATAAAAAAATTACTTAAGAAATAAGGGAACATTTATAGTCATTAATGATAAGGAGATTGGGCAATTTATTTAGTGGTTATTGAATGAATGGATATAATTATGAAAACCTAGGTCAGATTGTTGGTTTTAAAACTGCTGAGTCTTAGATTTGATTCACCTAGATAAGGCCTGGCAAACTCATTACAGTACACGTGGCAACCATATGCCTGCTCACTGTACTGGTAAGCATTCTGTTCTCACATGTGGAATCAAATGGAAACAGGGCTAACACAGTGGTGTCTGTCATACAGATAGCACTTGTAGGTAACACAAGAACAAGAATTGCACAGGACAAGAATCCACATACAGTTCTCTAACTACCTCACCCTGACCGCTTATACTAACATGAAGCTCACTACCTAACCAGACAGCTGATTCTTCCTCTCTGGAGGAAGAGCAAACTCTTTCTTTCTGGAATCTTTACTTATTAATATCTATTCTGTCACTCAGAAACCACATGAAGAATTATCATGTGGAATTATCATTTGCATTCAATTCTCACAGTAACTATACTTCTGGCCACTACACTAATAAAGAGATTTCATGTCTGAAAACAACTTAAAAAAAAAACCCAACGTGTATGTATAGTCTTACCTTTATCTCTCTGCATAAAGACTGAACGTCAGTGGATAACTCCACTGTCTGCTCCTCCAGTTGCTGACGACGCTGCAAATTAGTGGATATCTGCAGTTTCTCTGACTTCAGTTCATTTGTGGTACTTTTTAGGTATTGAATTTGTTCCTGCTGGTCCTGTATGAGCTTACGATTCAATTCAATCTTACTGGAAACTACACAAAAACATAATGATACAGTGGTTAGTGGATGGTACAGAAAATACTCTTATTGACATCTTTTTGGTTTTTTAAAGCATATGCAATTCACCAAAGCTGAACTTCTGTGGGCTCCACTGCTGTCCTGACCTGGCCGCTCACAGGTATGTGTGACTGAAAGAGCTCACACCACATGTGACCTACTATTCCAAGTCTGTTGCACAAGGCAAAGAAACAGAGAGGGATGCTTTTGAGAAAAGAGAATAAATATTCTGTGTGCTGGAAGGAAGAACGTTCTCTGTCCACATAATGGGGTAAAAGTTTAGTGTAGAAAGCAGGTGTCAGGAACACTGACGTCTTTGTGGGATGTGGGGAAACGGACTCTATTACCTGTATCCAGTTTGTGCTGCTTTTCTTGTTTTTCCTGGTTAACTTGTTGGACAGTTCGATCCAAGTCTATTCCTTGTAGCTTAGCTGCTTGTTGTGCAATTTTTCTCTCAACATCTTTAAGCTCCATCTTAAGAACACGACAGTTATTTCATAAAGAAACTTCGTGCATGATCATCATTCAAACCTTTCTTAAGCAAGTTCAACAGATCAAACTGAAATGAATTTTTAGTAACTTGATCTAAATGACACATGCCTTAATTTCCATATTATATGACTTAAAGCTAGGAAGGTGAGCAAATCAGCTGTGTGTACCTGAAAGGCAGCTGCCGTTTTTAACACACTTACATTCCACATTCACATCCCCATGAATCTTACTCCACTTTAACCTGCAGCAGGCTCACCTGGAACCTCTCCATGATTGTGACATCTGTCAGACACATTTTTGCACTTTCTTCTTCAGGCATTATTGTACCCAAGAGTGTTTCCTGTTCTTCTATGTCATTCTTCAGGCGCTGGATGTCTCTATTGACGCTCTGCAGTTTGTTTCTTAACTCTGGTATCTCCTTTTCCTTCAAATCAATTATGCTTTGCCTTAAGAGAGCACACAATTAAAAACCATCTGCTGTCTGCTCCTCATTCAAGGAGGTGATGCACTTCTGGCACAATTATGAGGTGACCATTTCAAAGCACCCTACAAGCAGCTAAACCCTACACACTTGTTCATGGCTGTTGGCCAGTGTTCCCCACTCTAAAATAACCACTTTTTTCTTTGTAATTAAAAAGTATCTTAGGAGGGATACATTTCGAATAGATGAGTATCTTGTTTCTCAAAATTCTGCCCACTGACGTCAGTGGCCATTAATAAATTCTGTTTGCAGTAATTATTATTAGGGTGTTTGCCAGACAGAGAGACATTTTATAAATTAACCAATCACACTCATCAAAAGCGTCAAGGTCATGAAGGACGAAGGAAAGCTGATGCCTGAGGAGGAAAGCTGATCCTGAGGAGAAATGATCAGATGAAATGTAGGGTGTGAGGTTGATCTTGAGACAGAAAAAGCACAAGAAAAGCCGGGCATGGTGGCGCACGCCTTTAATCCCAGCACTCGGGAGGCAGAGGCAGGTCTACATAGTGAGTTCCAGGACAGCTGGGGCTACAGGGAGACCCTGTCTCAAAAAAGACCAACAAAACAAAACAAACAAAAAAACAACAAGAAAAGAAACCAATCCAGCGCAATCACACCAGCATTACTTCCTGGTTTCCTGTGTATGGCAACGCAGACTGTTAACATTGGCAGAAGCTAGGTGAGGGGCGTTGTGTATTTTTGTAATTTTTCTGTAAGTAGAACATTATTTCAAAAATAAAACTGTTTTAAATTAGAGACAGGAAGGAAGGAAAGAAGCCAGATACTCAGCCAAGTGCTACATGGGCTTAAGGTCAAAAAACATCAATCTTCCTTTCAGTCACTACTTGAACTAATGAATTACTGTCTCTATACTTACTCTTGATGACAAAACTGTGAGGCAAAATACATGCATTCGATCTTTTTTAAAAGAAGTTTATTTCTGCGGTAAAAGAAAGATTAATGGAGCCAGAGTAAGCCCTGAGGCCCAGAACAAAAGAAATTGGTTAATTTTGGCCAACTACATGGTCTTGAACTCCAAAAGTAAAGTATAATCAGAAAGTAAAATGATTAACATGCTTCTTTAAGAATCTAAGGAATCACACTGCCCAGATACTAGGCTTAAGTTCAAAGTACCAGAACAATTCCCATTTGAAGATCTAGAAATAAACATCACTAAATTCCACCTAAAAAGGGTTATAGCCGGGCGTGGTGGCGCACACCTTTAATCCCAGCACTTGGGAGGCAAGAGGAAGGCGGATCTCTTGAGTTCAAGGCCAGCCTGGTCTACACAGTGAGTTCTAGGACAGCTGGGGCTACAGGGAGACCCTGTCTCAAAAAGAACAAAAAAAAAGGGTTATAAATACCTGCTAGTAATTATGTCTACTACCCTAGCTTGGTGGAGGCATATGCCACCAGGTCAAGAGGCCAAGGGCATAAACAGTAGGCCTGCCTTTATAGCTGAGAGCATAGCAAGACAAACACAAGGTAGCCACAACCCATTTTGAATGGGCTCTATCTTGTATTTTTAAAACTATTATTTCCTTTTTCTTATTTATTATCTATTTTTTTATGCGTATGAGTGTATTGCCTGCGTGTATATAAGTGCACCCCTGTCATGCAATAGCCACGGAGGACAGAAGAGGGTGTTAGATCCCCTGGAGTTGGAGTTAAGGACGGTTGTTAACCATGTGGGTGCTGGGATTTGAACCCAGATCTTCTGCAAGAGCAGCCAGTGCTCTTAACTGTTAAGCCATCTCTCTGGCCCCTTTATCCTATACTTTTTTCTTTTTTTTTGTCTTTTTGAAGCAGGGTCTCCCTTTTTGAAGCTGTCCTGGAACTATGCAGACCAGGCTGGCCTTGAACTCACAGAGATCCGCCTGCCTCTGCCTCCCAAGTGCTGGAACTACAGGTGTGTGCCACCACGCCTGGCTCCGTCCTATACTTTTAGCCACCCAACAGCCTTAAAAGTTATAGATATTGCCCTGTGGATCCATCACACTTGAATGAAAAAGGCGCAGGAGCCAGAGGAAACCACAGCTTGAATCAGGGTGCAAACCAACACCCTGCAGGACAATGGGATCTCACTAGAGAACTTCAGCCCTGCTCTGATCTTCCCTGGAAGCTGATCACTCCAGGCACAGCAGAAGCCTGAAGATTCTCCAGCCCTGCCCCAGCCATAAGTCTGAAAGTTGCATTTTCTATGCAGTGTAGAAGCCCAAGGAACACAATGTGGGACACATGGGGACTATGGACAAAGTGTGGCACCTTTCAATTAAGCTGAACTGTACTGCTTGCCTTACTTAAAAAAAAAAAAAAAGTTCTAAAAAATCCTGAATATTCTCTCCTCCCCCCCCCCCATCTCGCCTTTTGGAGACAGGGTCTCTGATAGAATATGTCAATTGCAGAAGAGCCACAAACCTCATTAGGTAAAGTCATAAATCCTTTAAAGTATTTAACTGGCCCTAAATTAGCAGCCTAGCCTTGCTCAAACCCTGAATTGGGTCACTTCCTGAACTGAGAGAGACTGTTTGTGGAGCCCACCTATCTGAGAAAAAGAGACCCTCAAGGACACTAGACCCTGGCACGGAGTTAACTCTTCCAGCTGTGTGCAGCAGGGTTCCTATATAAGACCAGACTGCTCCCCATTCAGGGTGCAGATAATCATTCCTCGAGAAACAGCTTTTATCAGAGCTTTGCTGGCTTCCTGAATTCAAGGAGCACATTCCTTGCCCGTTGCAGGTCTGGCTCTGGTTCTTGTCTCTTACTCCTCCATCTTTCCTTTAATTCTTCCTTAGCCATAGCTGCCCTGGAACTTGCTATGTATACTAGGATGGCCTCGATCTCAGAAAGATCTGTCTGCCTCTGCCTCCTGAGTGCTAGCTAGGATTAAATGTGCTCACCACCATACCTGGCTAAAATCCCAAATTCTTTTTTTTTTTTAAGACACATTAGAATTTTTTAAAAAATATTTTATTATTTTATTTTTTATGTGTATGCATGTATTGCATGCATATAGATAAGTGCACCTGTGTTGTGCTGCATGCGGAGAGGCTGTCGGATCCCCTGGAACTGGAGTTTCGGACAGTTGTTAGCTGCCATGTGGGTACTGGGATTCGAACCAGGGTCTTCTGCAAGAACAGTCAGTGTTCTTAACCACTGAGCCACCTCTCCAGCCCCTAAAATCCCAAATTCTTAAGCTTAAATTAGCATAATAAGTTTAAAATATACAATAAATTAAATTAGCTGCTAACAGAAATCTAAATAATAAACTAAAGGAAAAACCAGGAACTCAAGGGCTGGCTCCTGCATACTACAGGCGCCCACTGGCTCTCAAGAAATGTTCACTACGATCAACATCTGCCAACCTGAATGAGCTGCAGCAACAGACACTTTCTTACACAAGAGAAATTCTTATTTCATTCCTTCTAAACATTGTGGTCACAAACTGGTGGTTGCTCTTAGATTATGTGCCCAGCACCTAATATGACAGCTATGACAGAGAGCATGAGGATGACCAAGCGTTCATCTAACAGACGACAGCTTTGTGGAGAAGTACTGGCATGCACAAGATGTTAATCCTATTTTGAGATTTCTCTCCTCTCTCTCTCCTCTCTCTCCCTCTCCCTCTCTCTCTCTCTCTCTGACACAGACACACACACACCCTTCACTAATGTGGTCCAGGCTTTGGTGACTTCGTCTCTGAAGACAGACCTGAGATGCTAAAATAACTGTTCTCAGAAAAAAGTCAAGAAACTCCCCTCCAGAATGGGCTAATAAGATCTATTAGGAATTGGGCATGGTGGCATATACCTGTAAACCCAGCACTTTGGAGGTAGAAGCAGGTGGATCAACAGTTTAAGGCCATCCCTATAGTAAATTCAAGGCCAGCTACTGAAGACCCCGTCTCAAAAAAAACAAAATATTGGGGCTAGATAGACGACTCAGAGGTTAAAAGTATTGGCTGCTCTTGCAGAAGATCCAGTTTTGGGCACACACGGCAGCTAACAACCTACTGTAACTCCAGTTCCAGGGGAGATGACGCCCTCTTCTGGCCTCTTTGGGCATCGCACGTATAGTGCATTTACATACATGCACATAAAATAAAAATGATTAAAAAAATTTTTTTAAAAAACAACAAAAATCGGCCGGGCATGGTGGCACACACTTTTAATCCCAGCACCCAGGAGGCAGAAGCAGGTGGATCTCCGTGAGTTCAAGGCCAGCCTGGTCTACATAGTGAGTTCCAGGACAGCTGGGGCTACAGGGAGACCCTGTCTCAAAAAGACCGAAAAAAAAAAAAAATCTATCAAGGTTCTCTGGGTTTGTTTTCATTTTTATGATATTATGATGTCTAACTTTTTTTTTTTTCTTTTTGAGACAGGGTCTCCCTATAGCCCCAGCTGTACTGGAACTCTCTATGTAGACCAGGCTGGCCTCAAGCTCACAAAGATCTGCCTGCCTCTGCCTCCCAAGTGCTGGGATTAAGGTGTGCACCACCACGACTGGCTGATATCTAACTTTTTAAAAAATTATTTTATGCATTTGAGTGTCATGTTTGCACGTATGTTAAGGGCACTTATATTGTGCCGCACACCCATATCGTGCAATGTTTGTGGAGGTCAGAAGAGAGTGTCAGATCCCTTGGAACGGTAGTTGCAGACGGTTGTTAGCTGCCATGTGTGTGCTGGAAATCGAACCTGGGTCTTCTGCAAGAGCTTAAACTGCTGAGTTATTTCTCCAGCCCCAACATCTAACTTTTGATTTTCATAAATTTATTTTTCTCATACTTCACCAAGTTTTTAATTATTACTTTCTTTTTCTTTAACACTAAAACTTTTTTTTCTTTATTTTATGTGTATCAGTGTTTTGCCTACATGTAAGTGGACCACAGGCATGCAATGTCTGAGAAGGACATAAGAGGGCACTGGAGTCCCCTAAAACTGGAGTTACAGACAGGTGTTAGCAGCCATGTGGTGCTGGGAACTGAACTGAGGTCCTCTGCAAGAGCAGCCAGTGCTCTTAACCAATTAGCCATCTCTCCAGCCCTCTATATTATTACTTTCAATAGGCAAGTCTTAATTGTATATGTTTGTAAAGTAAGTAACATGCTTCACATATGTGGAATGATTAATCTAGATAATTAAGAGCCACTGACTTGCTGACCTACCACTTTTCCCTTGGTCTTCTGGTCAAACATGCTGCTGCTATTCTGAACTGCCTGGAATGTGCTTCCTTTGGGCAATGCATGGCTGGCCCCCTGGTTCTCCCAGCTCCCCACTCAAATGCCACAACCATGGCAACCCCCTCCACCACCTTCGGCTCTCCCCATTACCTAGCTGACTATATTCTTTCCCAGCACCAATCACCTGCGTACTACACATTTACTTTGGGGTTTATCATCCATCTTCTCACTAGCACATAAACTCACTAACAGGAATTTTATTTTGTTTACTGTTGTATTACCAGCACCCAGCAAAGTACTTAGCAAGCAAATTTACTGGTTGAGCTATTCATAGAGTTCTCATTACAGTAGTGGCATCAGGGCATATTTTATGGTGAAAAGACAAACAGTACACTAATAACTATAACCTTCTTGTCACTCTGCCCTTCACCAATAACACCCTCCACCCGAATGTCACGAACAGACCTCTATTGTAGCTTTGAAAGTGACTCGGAAGGTGTTTGACAATAGTACCCTAAACTGTAAGCTGGAAGGCCATTTAATGATCACCCTAGTCAAGCCCCCAGTTTATATGGGGAAAGTATGGCTCAGATGGGACTAGTAGCATTCCTAAAGGCAGGCATTCAGCAGAGCCAGGATCCACGATTTCAGTCACGGCTTTCTGCACACACAAAAGTACTCTTAGTTCGTTACTTTTATTCGTGGATTTATTTAAACTTAAAAAAATAAATAAAGTGTACCACTATGCCAGCAAGCTATAGTCACACCTCCTTCCAACGCTCATCAAGGAGTCGAGGGGGGAGTCAGTTACCCATCTCACTCAATCGGTTGGCCTTAGCTGCATATAGGGGAGGGGCAAAGGATGTATAAGCCAAGAATGCCAGGAGGAACCTCTCTCACCATTTTCTGTGGCTGTTGGGAAATCACAGGATCAATATTCGAGTGTGGATGCTCCAGTGCAGCCATAAATGGGGGTGCCCACTCCTTTGTAAATATACCCCTACCCTATGCTCTGTTAAAAAAAAAGAGAGAGACAGAGAATGATAGGTGTCTGGATAGAGAGATGAGGGATCTGACTAAAGCACAGGTGGATGGACTTGCACTGGGGAACGTCTTGGGATACTGACAACACAGTGGGCCTTAAATGCCCAAAACAGAGTATATGGGCTCCAGTGGGGGACTATGGGAGGGTGCTGGTGGGGACGGGGCTATTAGGATTCAGATTGTTCAAGATATTCTGTATGAAATACAACAAAACTTAATAAAAACAAAATTTTAAAATAAAAAAAAAATGTGTTTCACAATTCTATGTCCTCCTGAAAGGGGAACTTCCTCTCCCTCATTAGCCTCACCCTTCTCCATTTCTCCAAGATGGCGTTTCTGCTAGTGTTTGAAAAGCACACTGAGGTTCATCCCTAGCCTGGTCTTCTGGTTTTCATGTTTCAGTAAAAACAATCTCAGCATACATGTGTTGTCCCTTAGTACCCTGCCAACACCCTGGTCCACAACCTCTGGATGTTCCCTGGCTTCAGCTTCTACTGCTTCATGTGTGGGAAAAGAATGGCACACAAGCACCCTTGGTCAGCACACTTTGACTCTCCTCCCACTGAGATGTGAAGTCTTCTGAACACGGACAGGCTTGAAGACATGCCAAAAGAAAGTGGCAGGAGCACCACTGTGCGTTTCTGTGCCCAGGCCTGAGGAGACTCAGCTAGGGCTGGAGAAAGGCTCGGAGGTTACAAGCAAACTGCTCCTGCAGAGGACCCGGGTTCAGTTCCTAGCACCCATGCCAGGTGGCTTACAATCACCTGTAACTCCAGCTTCAGAGGGAACTGGTGCCTCTGGCCTTCACGGGCACTTGCACTCAGGTGCAGATGCCTCCCCTGACAAGCACACAATTAAAAAATAATAAAAATAAATCCTAAAAAAAAAGACTCCAAGCTTTTACTTCTTATCTCTTGGAATACTTGTACTTTGGATACTCTGTTTGGTAACCCTGTCACTTTGCTGCATCGAATCCTAGGACAAATGTGGAAGGATTTCACATTTCAGTGTTGGGCTGGGCTTCCAGGCTATAGTCAGCACCTTTCATCTTGAACGTCCAGCCCCACCAGACCTGCGGATGACTTCAGCCACCTAAAAGACCCAGATGAAAACCACTGTGCTAAGCCCAGGCCCTCACAGGACCATGGAAATGACAGCAAGTCCCGGTCCCGAGGCACTAGGCTTTTCAGTTGGCTTCAGAGCTGTGACTAGAATAAACACTACATTCCCCTTCATTCAGCAAAGTAACTGGAGCTACAATGGCGAGCTACTATGCAGCACAATCATTAAGAAACGAAACTCACTCTGTGAGGAGAGCTGTGGCAGCAGTCCTAAAACTTAATACCACGTTCATGTGTACCACCTGACACATTTCAGTATGACACAGAACTAACAACTTTGTATTTTCTCTATGTGCACTTTCTATCAATTTCAAGTTTTATCTTTGATTTTTTTCCCAAGATATTCTTATTCTTTTTGATCTCAAACTACTACTGTGTATTCGTACCACATTCTCTCTATGGCTCTATAGTCTGGTTTTTGCTCTAGATGATTCTAGCAGTCATCCACTGTTGCATAACAAAATACCCCCAAACAGAGCAGCATAAAACAAGAGCACTAATTAATCTCCCCTGGAGTTAGAGCCCAGCTGTTGGCTGGAGCCATAGTCATCTCAAGACTCACTGCTACAAAGTCTGCTTCTCTCCTCACCTGTTCAGTGCAGAGGCCTTGGGGCCTTGTCATACGGACCTCTCCATGGGCTTCTTGGAACATGCAGATTGTAAACGGGGGACAGCCATCGTACCTTAGTAATAACCTAAGCTTCGAATGGATAGGTTATCATTTGTCTCTCTTACTGAGATGGTCTCATGTAGCCCAGACTGGCACAGAACTTGCTGTATAGTGAAGGATGACCTTGAACTTGAACTTCTAATCCTGCTCCCTCCACCTCCCAAGTGCTGTGACTGCAGAAGTGAACTACCAGGTCCAGCTACTTCTGTCCTATTTCAGCAGTTACAGACCATTCCTGTCAATAACCTGAAAAGCAACGATACACGAACACCAAGAGACCAAGAGGGCCCACTGTGGAGACCACAAGGGACCAGGAGGGGCCACTGTGGAGAGCACGAGGGACCACTGTGGAGAGCACGAGGGACCACTGTGGAGACCACAAGGGACCACTGTAGAGACCAGGAGGGGCCACTGTGGAGAGCACGAGGGACCACTGTGGAGAGCACGAGGGACCACTATAGGAGCTGGTTGCCATATTGCACATCTCTGACTTTCCTTCTTTTCCTGAGACTTTCTCAGTTTTGTGGCCAATATTCTGGTTTATCTGTTTCTGGACATTTCCCGACCCAGATCTACTCAATGTATTAATATACGATTAAATCTCCTAAGATAGGCTCAGCAACTACATTAGGGTGGCTTCTTGTCACCTATTGAGAGTTACAGCAAAGCCTGAAAACAGTATCTTCCCAATTATGGGAACCAACCCCACAAGTAACTCCTGAAACCCACAATAACTTTTGGTGGCAGCCTGGGCCTCACTCCTCTTCTTTGCACACGGCTCTGACCCCTCTTCCCTTTCCTTCTGTAACGCCCCGTTCTCTAGGCTCTACATTGTTCCTTTGTCCTCAAAATACCTTTCTCTTTTTAAAACTTTTTTCATTTATTTTTATGTGTATGAGTGTATTGCCTACATGTATGTAAGTATACTGTGTGCATGCAATGCCAGAGGCCAGAAGAGGATGTCATATCCCCTGGAACTGGAGTAATGGATGGTTGTAAGCCACCATGTGGGTGCTGGGAATCAAACCAGATCCTCTGCAAGAGCATCCAGTGCTTACCCGCTGGGCCATGGCTCCAGCCCCGCTTGTCATGCTTGTACCCTGGCTCCTTCCTTAACTAACGCATTTGTTTGATCCATTTAAAGTACTTCATCAGAACCAACTTTTGGTCTAATTCGGAGAGCTTATCTCCTTACTTAGATCATCAGCTCCTGTGTACTGTTTTACTGGTCTCTGTGGCTGGCCTCACACCTATGTTCTAGAAGATACTAGGATAGGATAGGAATCATGCATTTCCTCATGTCATTTTACTTATAAACAGGCTATTATCTAAATTTCTTGAATATATGAAAATATAACAGAAATAATCTGTGATTCTTTGAAACCGAGAATGACATACAATATACTTTAAAGGTTGTCTTTTGGGGCCAGTGAGCTGGCTCAGAGAGTGAAGGTGCTGGCCACCAAGCCTGACAGCTTGAATCAGATCCCCAGGATCCAAATAGTAGGAGAAAGAACTCCTGAGGGTCGTCCTGACTTCTGTATGTGTGCCATGGCATGCCACACCCACACAAAATGAATAAAATGTAAATTTAAAAGTTGTTTTTTGGAAGAGTGTTCTATTAAATAAATAACATGATGGGACACGCTGGCTCGGAATCCTGCATCCTGCACATGCTAGGCACTGTAGAGAGACCTTTCACAGTGACTGCTATGTGTCAATGAGAGCCCCATCCTCACCTCAAGGGCACAAGCCCCAGCATCTCGTCACGGCGCTTTTCTTTCTTCTTTAGTTCTGATTCTGTTGACTTGAGTTTATCTGGAGCAAGCCGCAGCTTGGACTGCAAGTCACTGATGACTTCCTGTAATTCAGCCTCTGTCTGGAAAACTCTCTGACAGACTGGGCAGCAGGACTGGTTTTCATCTGTTAGCTGAGTAATGAACTGGGAATAAACCGCTGTGGCTCCAGCCAGCATGGCTGTTTTAAGAAAGTCTCCAGTGAGAAAAATCACACTATAATCTAGAATTATTATTCCCACTTTATAAATATACCACAAATGAAATAAGATTCTGACATCTAAATCTTCTTCCTAAAGATATGATATATTCAGATTTGAATGATTATTTTTGGGTAAGATATAAAATACCTAACATTTTATTGAAAGCTTTCTGTGGTCAGGCACTGTTTATACTTATAATCTCATTTAGTCATCTTTAATATCCTATGTGTTGGGGGGGCTGGAGAGATGGCTCAGCAGTTAAGAGCATTGACTGTTCTTGAAGAAGACCTAGGTTCAAATCCCAGCACCCACATGGCAGCTAACAACTGTCCATAACTCCAGCTCCAAGGGATCTGATGTCCTTTGCACAGCACAAGTGCACTTATATATATATGCAGGCAATAAACTCATACACATGAAATAATATTCAAAAAATATCCTGGCATGGATTTGATCAAAACACCCATATTCATGTATGAAATTCTCAGTAAATTATTTATTTAAAAAAAATTACCAGCTGGGTGTGGTGGTGCACGCCTGTAGTCCTAGCACTTGGGAGGCAGAGGCAGGTAGATCTCTGTGAGTTCAAGGCCAGCCTGGTCTACATAGTGAGTTCCAGGACAGCTGGGGCTACAGGGAGACCCTGGCTCAAAAAGACCCCCCCCAAAAAAAATAATAATTTTAACTGAATATTCCTAATAGTACATTTTATTCATTTTTATTTATTTCTTCATTCATTCATTCATTCATTCATTCTTTCTTTCTTTCTTTCTTTCATTCATTCATTCTGTGTGCATGTGTGCAAATTTCATGGTGTGATTGTGGAAAACAGAGGACAAGCTGAGTCTGTTCTCTCCTTCTACCATGTGAGCCCTGGGGTTCTAATGCAGGTTTGTTTCATGCTTGGCAGCAAGAGCCATCTTGCTGGTCCAATGGCAGATTTTCAACTGCTCCCAAAACAAAAGCATAGGAATGTGGCGTGATGCAGAAGGTAATTAACTTGATTCAGACATTATACTGTGCATCCATATTTCAAAGAAAATTTGTTGTTGAATTAAAAATTATTAGAACATAGTATTTTTTTCCTTTTCAGGCAAACTGTGTCAAATAAAACCATATAAAGTAAAAAAAAATCCTATGTAGTATATTTACTTTTATTTTCATTTTACAGATGATGAATCTGAAATATAGGAAGGTTACAGTAATTTGCCCAAAGTCACATAGTAAGCTATGTATAGCCAGAAATGAACTCTAAAGTCTCCATCCTTGAGATGAAGAGATGGCTCAATGGCTTAAGAGAACTTGCTGTTCTTGCAGAGGACCTGAGCTCAACTCCCAGCAATCATGCTAGGTAGCGCACAACTGTCTATTAACTCCAGTCCCAGGGGATCCAACACCTCTGGCCTTTATGGGCACATGCACTCACATGTGCAAAACCCATAAGGAATAGACACACATCCATACACATAAATCTAAAACAATTTAGAGGGGCTGGAGAGATGGCTCAGTAGTTGAGAGTGCTGGCTGCCCTTGCAGAGGACCCAGGTTTGATTCCCAGCACCCACAGGGTAGCTAACAACCATCCATAACTCCAGTTCCAGAGGATCCAATATGCCTTCTTCTGACCTCCTCGGGCACTGCATGACATAGGTGCGCTTAAACACATGCAGGCAATACAGTCATACACATAAAATATAAAAAAAAGCCAGGTGTGGTGTGGTGGCACATGCCTTTAATCCCAGCATTCGGGAGGCAGAGGCAGGTGGATTTCTGTGAGTTCAAGGCCGGCCTGATCTACATACTGAGTTCCAGGACAGCTGGGGCTACAGGGAGACCCTGTCTCAAAAAAGACAATAAATAAATAAAATAAAATAATTTAGAAAATAAATCTTAAAATCTCTTATCCTTAGCAGTTACATGTGAATGAAAATTCAAATGGCAAAGTGCCTTGCCATTACAAGTAATTTATATTAAATATTAAATACAAGTAACTTACCGCGCTGTTTTGAGGATTTTTCAATTTCTTCTTTAAGTCTATCTAAATCACTTTCAAAGTCCTGGCTACCACAAACATCAAATAGCTTTTCTTCATAACTGGACAACTGTTCTTCCTTTTTCTTTAGCTCATTATTTATATGATTTTTATTTTGCTCTGCAGAAGCTAGTTCTTTGCTAAAATAAAAACAAGTATCAGTACTATGAAAATTTTGAGAAAGAAGAGACAAGACAAATTTGGCCAAAAAAAAAAAAATCATTAAAAGGATTTGGTATGCCCAACACTTTGGAGGGGAGTGTGTGCTGTGACAGAACTCAGGAGTACTAAGCATGCTAAGTACACACTCTACCACTGAGCTATACTCTAGCCACAGTACTTTCCTTAGAAATCAGTAACAAGTCTACTCTGGCTTAATGCTCCCCTAGGACACAGACTCACCTGCTAATCCTAGGTTTGCAGCTGCTCCCCCAAAAATGTGCAAAGGCAGAATTACACTTGATTTCTGGAGCTCATGGCCTGACTCTAGGTTGTAAGCCTCAGCAGGCACTCAGTACTGGAGAGAGGAAGCAGGACAGTCTCCTAACCTCTTCCTTTGGCCTCGTCCACAGTATGGCTTCCCTACTCTATGTCCCTTTTGTGCTGTCGTCATCTGCTAACCCCCATCACTTATTCCCCATCATTCATCAAAGACTTCACTAATTACAGCTTATCTCCACCCCAACTCTTAAACAACATCCCAGACAACCTCAATGCTCACACGTATCAGATGAGACTCATAATCAATTTAATGTAATGCACTCGGCATATTCTTTGAAATGAAACCAAAAAGAATGTAACAGAGTTGATGGCACAAATTACTATTCTGAGACATCTGCTTCAGAAAATGTGAGTGTGCACGTGTCAGAAAATGTGAGTGTGCACGTGTGCTTCATCACGCCACCCCCGTGAGTCAGAGCAAAACCTGGGAAGAATACAGAAGATACTTCCTCATGCTGGGCATGTCTCCTGAAGGTCAGAGATCTAGAGTTAAGTGCAGTCTTCATCTCCTTTAAGCTGCACCAAGCACAGCCAACCCTTTCCTTGAAGAATGTCTTCCCCGGCACCCTAGCCCCACTCTGCTTGGCTCGCCTGCTTTCCTCGGAAGTGCCTGTTTCAACCAGTAACTCTTCCTTAGCTCGCCAGCTCTGGTCTTTCCTGGCATGTAGCCATAACATGTGGTCTTTCCTGGCATGTAGCCATAACATGTGGTCTTTCCTGGCATGCAGCCATAACATGTGGTCTTTCCTGGCATGTAGTCATAACACTTCTTCATACAAGTCTTGAAATGTTTTCACTGCATTTATCAAGTGGGCAATGGCAGGCACGTGAGAGGTCAGAGGACAACTTATGGGAGTGGGCCCTCTCCTTCTTCCATGTGGGTCCCAGGATCAAACTTAGGTCACCAGGCTTTGTGGGGGGCCTTTATCCACTGAGCCATCTTGCCTGCCCTCGTTGACAACTCTTTCAAGGTGACATGTTTATAGTGACTACTCATTTATTCTTTATACTGCAACAACTCTCCATCTCCTGAACATCATGACTCTATTTACTACAAGACGCTTCCACATGGAGCACAAATTTGAGCCAGGCGTGGTGGCATACACCTTATAACTATAGCACTCAGAAGGCTAAGGTAAGAGGATCTGAAGTTGGAGGCCAGCCTGGGCTACATAGTGAGACCCTTTCTCAAACTCAAAAAGAAAACACCACGAATTGAATATAGCCAAGCCGAATCTACTATCTTCAAATACTTTATCCTCTTATCTGACTGCCATCTGAGCTAACACCTGAGAAAATCGTGAGCAATGGGCTAGTCACAGAAATAAATCTTCATAATGTTCATCCTCTTCTACAAAATGTTAAGGAGTAAGAGAACCCAATCACCACTCTCCATTATAAATTGCAAAAACAAGTCAATTGAATGTGGCATGCCATTTTCTTTTTCTGTTTTTCGTTTTGTTTTTTTTGAGACAGGGTCTCCCTGTAGCCCCAGCTGGGTGGCATGCCATTTTATAACAACAAATTGTTTTAGAACAACTAACACAAAAAGCACGGGTAGTTTGAGACAGCACAGCAGCTAAGAACACTGACTGCTCCTGCAGAGGACCCACAACCACCTACCACACCAATTCCAAAGGAATCTGATGCCCTCTGACCTCCAAAGGCACCTGCATGCATATAACTCACACAGGCACACATGGACATACACATAATAAATAAATCTTAAAAATAAAAGCATGAAATAAGATTTCTACCCCAGTGGCAATGTTCCAACAACTCACTTCAATTTGGCAAGCTTGTCCCTGGTCTGATTAATTTCTTTTGCTTTAGAGTGAAGCCAGTCTTCAAGCTGGTTTTTGTTAGGAAAATACCCCAACAATGAGGTTAGTTCCTCACTGTGCCTAGACTTTATTTTTCTGATTTGTTCATCTTTGTCAGCCTATAGTGAAAACAGAAGCAAAACAAACAAAAACAAACTTAAAAAAAAAACCAAGCCTGTATATGCACATATTTTCAAAAACAATAAATTCTGGAGGCTAAGCTGGCTTGGCAGGTAAAAAAGTCCGATGACCTGAGCTGGATTTCCTGAAACCACGTAGAGGGGGAAGGACAACTGACTCTGCGAAGCTGTTCTCTGACCTCTACATGCACCCCACGGCATACATGTACACACAGGTGCGCACACACACAACTAAGCTTTTTAAAAAATTAAGGCAAAGCCTGGCGTGGTGGCACACACCTTTAATCCCTGCACTCGGGAGGCAGAGGCAGGTGAATCTCTGTGAGTTCAAGGCCAGCCTGGTCTACATAGTGAGTTCCAGGCCAGCTGGGGCTACAGGAAGACCTTGTCTC